AATTATTAATCAATTAAAAGTCAAAATATATATGAGCGAAATATGATATAATTGAATAAGAAGTATATAATCAAAAGAAAAAATAAAGAATTAATTAGTGCTTTTCTTCGTAAAATAAGTTCCTATCCACAGTAATTATATATGTACCAAAATTGTGCCCTTGTGTAGCTTATAAGCTTGTAGCATTTGCTTTACCTTTGAGGTAGATATTAGTAGCAACGACTACTATTAACCACATTGTCAGCAGAACCTGGGTAAACTAAAAGTATCTCTCGCAATATAAGAATAAATAAAACACCAAACATCAATATAAGGAATTTATAAGACACGCTACTAATTAACAAAAATATAAGAAACATACCTAAGCATAAAACCATTATTGAAACATAAGCAACATGCATAGACAATATCATTAATCAAATATAAGAAAAACATAAACACCTTGTCAGTATTATAATCCAAGAAATATACTTAAGTACAAACCATTAATACAATATAAGGAACGTACATAAGCTGTCAACATGATATCAAAAGATTTGACAAAACCATTCTATTATGGAAATAATAATGAATCAATTGAAAGTTTCATGGCCGATTACAAAGGATATGCTGCAATAAAAGATTGAAACGATGTGAAGAAAAGATTAGTAATTGGACTCCATGTTGCAGAACCACTACACGACTGGGTCAGAAATATTGTTGAAGCCAAGAACACATGGGCAGGAGTAAAGACTAGTATCCTAACTATGGCAAAGGCAAAATATGATACTGAAGAGAAGATTGAATGCTTGATGAATTTAAAGCAGAACGAAAACGAAAGTGTAGTGTCATACACCAACTGTTTCGAAGCCTGCGCAGATAAAGTAAAAAATGACATCAGTAATCACGAAAAGAAATAGTAGTATATAAGAGGCCTATCAGCGAAATATAGGGATAAGATAAAAGAAAAATATCTTGAAACTTATGAAGAAACAAAAGAATGGGCGATAAAGATTGAAAAGTTTGAAAAAAGTGATGAGTTCGATTTAAAGAAGGCCTCCATAATCGGAGAAGTATCAGGCTTTCAACCCGACACAGATGTCGACGAATTGACAAACGCCTTCTCAGAATTAAAGATTTGTCAGGTCAGTCAAAGCAATCAAGAAGCAAAAGACACGAGTAGAATCGATAAGTTGGAATCTAGTATAAGTGAACTTACCAAAGTCATCAAGAATATGTCAAACAATAAGAATCAATATATACGAAATCAACCAAGAGGCTCATCACAAACTGATTGGTGCCAAAGGCAAGGTCCTGAAAGAGTGTTGGCAGGTTCTCAATCAAACCAACCCGAGATTCGAAAATGTTACAGTTGTAACCAAGAAGGCCACATATCTCGGAACTGTCTAATGAAAACAACATCTAAAAGATTGGACGACCTAAATAAAAGAGAAAAAGGGATCGATAAGGAAAATATGAATATTAGTGGTGCTGATATCTGATATTTTGAAGCATCCAAAACTTCTCATAATGATAAAACGGAATTTCTTAAAATTGAAATGGCAAAAGGAGAATCGATTTTTGATGTAAGAAATTAGAATTTGCGAAAGCGAAAAATTCCCAAGACCGAAGTTGGGCACCAATCATGTGATAAAAGAAATAAAATTGGCAAAAGTTCAAATAACCAAACATTACAATCAAGAGGTTCGATAATATATATACCTTTATCCGAGCTATCACAAGAACTTGATATACTGAAGAAAGTTGCCGAGCTTGAAGTCACAATTATGCTAGGCCAACTTTTTAAATGGTCACCAAAAGCTCATGCAGAAATATTGAAAGCCTTGACCAAAAAGAAGAAAAAAAATGATGTGGTATTGTTGGATACTAATGTTAGTATCATAAGGACAATTCAAACCAACTTCAATAGACAAGTCAGTGATGTTCTAATGGGAACAATCAAGGTGAATGAAGAAGTGCTTGATGCGCCCATTGACCCCGGTTCTTGCCTAAACCTCATGCATATCAACTATGCAAACAAAAGAGGGCTTGTTTGGAAACTTGCCAAAGGAAAAGGAAGAATGGCGGATGACAGAATTAGTATGTTTGCTGGGTAAGGGAGGTAGGGGTATTATGGCAAAGCTAAGCATGCTACAAGTAAAACTTTTTATTTATCCAATATAGAACTTTGAAATTTAAACCGCTAATAATACAACATATATAAATAAATCTAGTACAAAATAAGAAGGCATGATTTGTAATACTGGTACAAGATCGTCATTTTTGTACACGGTACCAAAATCGAAAATTTTAAGGTTAGGAGGTATTGTGGCGAATTTAGAAAAAAAAATTTTTTTCTTATTTTTTTTTTCTTGTCAACTTTTCTTGACTTTTTCTAGCACGTTCTTCTTTTTTTTGTGCTAGATCAAGCTCTCGTGCAGCTTTTTTTTGAGCGGTTATCTCTTTTTTTCGGTTTGTCTCTGCAATCATTCGTTCCGCTTCCTCACTTGCTTCTTTCAATTGCTGCCAGCTTTCCTCACTTGTAAGCAGTTGGGCAAAAGGGAGTGTTTTTTTCTTTTTTTTAGTGGGGAGCAACGAAGAATCTGGCTGCTTTTCAGGATCATTTTGGCTCTCAAAAGTTACATGAGAACTATTGGCGTGTGAATTACGAACTGGATACTTTAAAACCGAACGCAAAGTAGTTGTTCCAGGATTTTTATAAACATCAAGCTCTTCTGTTACTAACGCAAGCTGAGCTTTTAATAATTCATTTTCCTCTCTAAGTATTTTATTTTCTTCGTTTAACAAATTAACATTTAACCTTGTAGGATGAAAATGGTTTGGTTGAGATGCGGAGCTTGGTTCAACAAGTTGAGCGAAAGGTTGGCTTGGTTCGATGGGTTGGCTACATGAAGATAAGTCAATAAATTTTTCAGTTGTAAGAGAAGCATCTAAACGGTCAGGGCTAATAGCATTGGGATTAAATGGCCATATTCCCGTTGCTTTATAGGCGTTGCAAATAGCAAGCGGCGTGTAGGTTTCAAGAAAAGCGGGACCAAGAACTTTCGCGAAAGTATGCTTTGTTACTGTCATGCCATTATTGTTAATACAATATTTATCACACTCCTTACTATATTCATTTTTTAATTTTGCAAAAGGAAGCTCTGATGGTTGCAAAATGTGTGTTGTATGAGGTGGAAGCGCGTAAAGAAGGATACCATTTTCTCGGCAAAAATCAACGCTTGTATAGTTAATATGGCTTTTATGGCCATCAAGGATTAACAAAACAGGGCAAGCAGATGAAATTGAATTGATAAAGTGGTTAAGGTATATTTGAAAAAGGTCTTCGCACATATACCCGGTATCTGTAAAACCCATTACAGTTCCAGATAGTGCACCTTCTAACAAGCCAGGAATTGCGCAAACACCTTTATAGATTATCAAGGGTGGAATATACGATCCAGCGGCAGAAATTGTTGGTGCTAATGAGATATGTTCAT